GCCGTCTAGGTGGTGTGCCCTAGCCTGGATCGACTGCGTAGCCTGATGCAGAACACGGCCACTGGGAACGTCACCGCGTCATCCAGAACGCCTCAACAATGAAGGGGGCAGATGGGAGGAAAAGGAAGTGTCTGCCCTTCCTCTTGCCTAACGGGCGAGACGCTGAGAAATATCCACCAAGAAGAACTGCTAGTGGAATCAAGAGGGCTCTCGAGGGGAGTGTGACGAATGTGAAAGATGCTCGAGGCGTTCCAGCCTCAAACGCGAAACCGATACTGTGGAACTGGGAACGAACGAGGCGAGAAAGCAACGGCTGGTCTTCAGGTCGGTTCGAATAGTGTGTAGTCGCTCCTGGGGTCGTATTACCCCCTGTGAGTCTTACTTCCGCTGTTACGTTCGTCGGGATGGCTGTCTCCCTAGTACTACCAGCATCCTTAAGCGGCGTCAGAGAGGGGCGCGACGGGTCGAACGAGAACGCCTCTTCTCGGGGAGCTCCCGACACAAGTGCTTTCGGCTTCTCACTCTGTCCAGGTCGTAATCACACTCAGTTCCCAGGCGTCTCTGGGTCTAACGGGGCTTCTCTCACTAACTCCAGTACCTTTGCTTCGTAGCTAGATGCTTCCCCTTCCGTGTCGCTCCGGCCTCCCAGCTTCTTGCTGCGGAGCAACGTTCCGGCATCCGCCGATGCTTTGTGTGCGATAGCGCTAAGCATATTATCCTCTGCGCAAAATGGTGCGAGTTTCCGGCGAGCCAACCTCCGGGTCATCGCCGGGAAACGGAAACTTCCAGTAGGCACAGGCGGCCTACTGGGAAAGAACTGAGTTCTGTTGTGCTTCGAGGAGGTAGAGGGCAACGGGGCATCCCCGAAGAGAGCTGAGCTCTTTAACGAGAAGCGTGTGTGCCAGCCGGGCTTGCTGATCACTTCTTTGTTCAAGCGAACGTGAAGTACTTTGCAAAGCCATAGAGACTCTGGATTGACTCGGGATCCTCAGGCAACTACGCCCGTCGCTCCACCCTGGAAGGGAGTCAGCTGTATGCTGAGGCACTGGAAGTGCCAACGAGAGATACGATCTCTGTCCACGGGGACACTGGTAACTGTGTCGAAGGTCTCTGTCGACCTTGGAGTGAAGTTTGAGAACTTCGATAGCGTGGAATGGAGTTTGGTCTTAGACCTGGATGCGAGGAATGACCTCATCCTTGGTATGGTATGGCTGGAATGCCATGAGCCATGGATCGACTGGAAGTCGAAAACGCAGGGTGCGTCGAAAACGCAGGGTGCGTCGCACCCTGCTGCGTCGCCTGGCAACGCAGCTAAATGTAGACTGTTGGTGCTGCAATAGTAGCTTCGATCTAATGAGAATATGAGAAACCCATGGCTTATCATGTTCAATGTTCGAATGCGAGTAGAGCAAAAGGACTCTCAGTGTTAACTACTAAGTGGGGTTATATTTGGCAACTGGTGCCCATTCGGAACCGTTGGCAGAGGTTGCAGAGATACTGAACCTCGCGGAAATGACGGTCGAGTCTTTTCTGGCCAGCATCGAGGCTGGGAAGGTTGCAGAAATGGTATTCATAAGACCTGAGACCACTCCGGAGGTGTTGCATGCCTCCTCTGTTTTAGTGTTTACTCCGTCATTAAAGGATATACTGGATCCTTGGGTTCTTAAGTATCTCAGAACTCAAGCGCGTCTGACGCTGCTTGTTCAGCTCTTCCAAGACGTCCTCGTCCAAGACAGAGGAGGAGTTCAACTCCTACCTCTGGTGTCCATCGAAGATGCGACTGTCGACATTCCAAGCATGGGACAAAGAGGAACTACTCTTCTAAAACGAGAAGAGTCCTCACGGACCTTTTGTTGATCAATGCGTTCCTCTTCAGTTACAGTCTGGCCGACTGTGTGTGGTACTGCTTTATCCTCACAGGAAGTATGATCAATGCCTTCCTTGTCAGCCAATCCAAGTATGTATATTGCTAAAAAAAAGCTACTGATGTCAAGTATTCCGCTCTGACCCTTCCGACACCCCCCCCCCATCTCGTCAACACGGCATGGGTGCCACTATTGAGGTCGCCGACGCAAAATCAGTGCATCGAAAGCAGTTTTCGCTGTCACCAGAACAAAAGGGATTCCAGAAAATAAACTAGTAATAACAGTTCACTTTACTTTATGCATAATATAAACAACAAAAGATTGAATGGCTATTTTAGCAAAAAGCATAGACAAATGAAAAGAGCATGCACAAGGTAAAAGTAAAGTTTGCCCTAGTTTACAAATAATAAAAAGGGTTTTGTGATGCGAATTACCCTCAAATACCAAGATTTTAAATATTATTTTAATGAGCTGTACGCTGGGATTGTTATCACTACCGACCGTAAAAACATCAAAGTTTTCATGACGGGCCATGTATGTAGCATATGACATGACTCGGAAAGCTGATTGGCTAATGATCTTGAAGACGACGTTGAAGACTTCTAAGTGGTTTTATGAAGACGTAGTATTTTTGTCAGAAGCAGTTCAGATTTTTCACTCAGCCTATAACAAACAATGGAGCCTGGCAAGATCAACCTCTTAGCTAAGCATCGTACACAAACTATTAACATACACCGCGTCTTTCTGACGGCTCCAGATACTTACGCTCGTCACTCACGTCGACGTCAATGTCTGCTACTGCTTTATCATGTGCAAAAGTCTGGCCAACAAGGTTACATCCGCTTCTTGGCATGCCATTCCTGACATGCAGCCTCCCGCGCTTACGCCCAGACAATTCCTTGTCAGAATATTTAAACACTTTGCTCCCAAGAGTCCGTAGCAGCGCCACACACATGTCGCAGCCACGCAGCGGTAGGACATCGACCAGATCCGTGCCACTCAGTGGATTACGCGCCACTCCGCGTTCGTCCTCACCAGGACCCAGCGGTTGGTCATTGACCTGACCAGCACAGCTCAGCGTCGAACGTGCCGCACCACGTACGCCCTCATGGCAAACGGCAACCTCGTTGCTAACAATTTCTGACATACCAATACCCAGCACTACGGCCGTCTCGGCCTCGCAAAAGCGCTTCTGCTTCCTAGAAGAGGTGTCTGCTGTACTACAGCACCGAATCTGAGGATAACCCTCGTGTAGACGTTCCTTATGATGAGGATCTAAAATATCGAATCCTCTATGAGGTTCATGATACGCCCGTGGCGAAACTTAGGTCGGGAGAAGACCTATGGCTCGGTGAGCTCGATGTACTGGTGGCCCAAGATGTATAAGTGGGTCGGCACCTATGTACGCACGTGTGAGACGTGTCAACGGACGAAGTCCGCGCCGAGCACGGCAGCGCCATTGGCGAGTTTGCCTGTCCCCAAGGGATGTTGGCAGTCCATGAGTATGGACTTTGTGTTTGGCATTCCCAAGAATAACGCGGAAAGCACGGGTATTGTTATCTTTGTAGACCGATTGAGCAAGATGGCTCATGTAGCGGCGGTGCGGGACACCATTGATGGTGAAGATAAACCTTTGCTGTTTTTAGACCAAGTCTTTCGCTAACATGGCTTGCCTGAAATAATTGGCTCGGATCGAGACCCGCGCTTCACCGCGAGGTTCTGGACGTCCCTATTCAGAGTGCTCGGCACTCATTTGGACATGTCCACCGCGGACCATTCGCAGACCGACCGTCTAACTGAACGCGCGAATCGCGTTGCGGAGGATATCCTCCGAAGCGTATGCGCTGAGGCGCCAAAACGCTGGAGCCAGATGCTCCCACTCGTTGAGCTCGAATTAAATAATGCAGTGCACGTCTCGACAGGCTGCACTCCGCTCTATGTGAACGGCTTGGTCAGTCCTCGTGTCCCACTGACGCCGCCACCCAGTGGATCAGGGCTTGATGGGGGGTGGGATAGCCAAGCGGCTAGCTGATGTCACCTATGTTGCGGCTTTGCAAGCAAGTATGCGACGCTATGGCTGAAAGACAAGACGCACAGAAGGGTCATGCAGATCCCAAGGGCAGAAGCAATGCTAAGAGGTTTGAGGTCAGTGACCAAATATTGTTAAACGCGAAAAATCTACAACCTCAGTGTCTGCAGTCTTCAAGACGAAAGTGAAACCTCGGTCCATAGGACCGTTTACGGTCGTGGCTAGGAAGGTCCTAGCGTATACGCTCAGCCTTCCCAAAGATGCGCATGCATCCGGTATTCCATGTTGGCCTGCTTAAGCCATATCAAGCCCTGCTCAAGTGAGCGCAAAGGCGTTGGCGCTAACGGTGGCTGGGCCACGGACAGCTGCAGGGCAGCAGGTGGTAGAGCCACGGTAGGCTGAGCGACAGCAAGTGGTGGACTCACAGCAGGCTGATCAACAGGAAGGGCAGAGCCAAATGTCGCGAAGCGAAGTGCTCGAGATGCAGGAGCAAAGCTAGCTGAATGTTCAGCCGAGCGATTGGACAGTCTAGGCGCGAGACCTGGTTGTGGTTCAATTGTGGAGACTGTAACCTATCCTCAAGGTGGATCATCTCTTCGAGATTGCTCGATGGGCGGTGAGCGTGAACGTTTGCTGTCGTGGACGCCGGTGTCGTATGGACGCAAACGCCGTTCCGGCAAGTGCTGACTCTCTTCGCGAGAGCCCGGCAGAGGCAAGGCCTCCTCCTGCTCTGCTCGGTGAGCATGATGACATCCACTTTCACGTGGAATGCCTTGTGGCGCGGCGTAGACGCCAGTGACGTACCCACTCCAAGAGTTGCAAACCGCTTAGTGCTAGGCTCTTGACTCGGCCGAGTCGTCGACATCAGCTCAGCCCTTGAACACTAGATTCACAAGCGATAGGTCGGTGGTTCTCTCCCACCAGGGCGTCGCCCTCTCGTTCCATGAACATTTATTCACATTTGGACAAGCTTAAGGGCAACGCCCTTTTAAATTAGTGGTCGAGCGTTGGTTTTGGAAGCCACAGGTCGGTGGTTTGAACCCAACAGGGTACAGCCCTCTCGTTTTCTGACCGGTTGTCCTACAATGGGCAAGCTTAAGGGCAACGCCCTGTAAACTTAGTGGTCGAGTGTTGGCTTTGGAAGCCACAGGTCGGTGTTCAATTCCACCCGGGCGCAGCCCTCGCATACCATGCGTAGTCCGTACTCGGACAAAGGTACGAGCATCGCCCTTATGCTCAATGGTAGAGCTCCGGCCGGGAAAACCAAAGGCCAGTGGTTCGATCCCGTCCGCGACACACCACTTTCGCTGTTACAGCGAACCCACATCTGGATCAAGCTCATCGAGCAAGTTATTCTAAAACCACTATGCGTCCTTCGGGACGCTTGTAGCTGAACATTGTTCAGCACAACACGAAGCACCTGGTTCCTTCGGGTCCACGTCCCTAGCATCCCGAGGTCTCTCCACATCACGCTCCCGCTGCGAGCACTGCTCATACGTACGAGCCGGCTGATACAGCCACTGACCAGAGACTGAGCTCAGCTACTGACCTGTTCGCTCCCCAATCTAGTGGGAGGCGCCCAGCGCCTGACGACGCTCTTGCACGTATTGGTGGCGCTTTGGCACAGGCTTTGCCCGTCCTCGACGTCAGGGCAATTTTGCCGGAGAACAACCTGAAACCCTCACGAGTGCTGTGAGTGAGGGTAACCCCTCCACTTCACAACGTACTGAGGATCGGAGCGCGAGCAAAGGTCTGGGACTTAAGAACAAGACGCCCGGTGCGCGTGGAACATTGGGCCGACGATATGATGTTGGGCATCAACGATGCATAGGCGTTTGTGAGCTCGCGGATCTGTACAACGCTGGTGTGAGGTGTAGTAACCTCCGCCGTCTTGACAAGACGCGTCCTTGCTGAGGAAGTTTCGAGAACGGAATGTTCTCATCTTAGTGAGGGGGGGGGTGTAACGGGGTCACATGGTGTGAAACGCACAGGGGTACGGAGTACCCGAATAGCTAACAAACTATCAGTAAATAAGTCGGAGAGTTAACATAGTCTCTCAGTACGTTGGCTGAAAGCCACACGTTATTCATTTGATTTGTTTATGTTTAGCTATGCTAGATAGTTAAACAGATACAATTACCCCTAGGCGGCTTGGCCGCAATAAGAGAAAATAAAACACTTCTTGTTTTAAGGCATAAAAGTTAAGGTATTAGCTTTGAGCCCTTTTCGTGGGCTGTAAGTTACTTTGGATAAAGAACTTAGTATTAGTGACTCTTTGAGTCGAACGTTTTCCTCTGACGCAAAGTAACGGCAGCCCCGCTGCATCATGTATTTAAATGAAAATCATACATGTATGATGTTTCTTTTAAAAATATGAAACTCAACGGGTGGCGTTGGTACAACGTTACTAAACCCTTCTACAAGTTCACGACGTGTTTAGCGCAAAGCTAGCGACGTTAAACTGGTTTTTACTGTTTTATCGGTTTCCGAAATGTAACAATCAGAGCAAATTAGCCAACTGATTTTTGTCAAAATAGAGACAGTCGTTACCCGGACATAGCAAGCATTTAAACAGCCCCCTAATTTTCTCTGACTACAAATCTCACAATCTACTTAGTGACGATGAAGGACAGCGCAGCCGCTGACTTCAGCGCAGGTGGCGAGGGGGCAGCTAGACCACTGTCGTCCCCGCGCCTTGCGCAACTGTTTGCTTATTCTCGAGTCCAAGATGTAGCAACGACCATGAGCTGTAACGCATCTAGTGTTAGTAGATAAACGCTTATCAAACCATTGCACAGCACTTGCCTGTTCGGGCTGTACTGGGCGGGGCCACAGCAAGCTGGCCGCCCTCTTTAGCGATTCCTCCCGTATCCACTGACCGGCTCTTTCTGCCATTGTTGCGCATGGTGCTCCGCCGCGGTTCGCAGATATCGTATCTAACTAAAAAAAACTGTAATTTTTACCGATACTTTACCGGTTTATTTCTCTTGGATAAAAAGTGTTGTCGTTTTGCTCGTGAATTTTACAATAAGCCGTTCGACGTTAATTCGTCTTAAAGAGACGTTATGAACATAAACGCTACGCATCTTAACGCTGTTTGAACCACTTCGCAAAGCGCCGTCAAAGTTGGGCGGCGACACGGGTGGCAATAACAAGAGTGTGCGAGGGCGGAGACGGAGAAGATCCGACGCTCGGAGATTCCTCGAAAGGCAAAGTTGTCGTTGGTGACGAGGGTGCACGTCACGTTGCGTACGGCGGTAGTCTGCATACGCATCCTCCCAAGACGTCCAGCTTGTGTAGCCTCTTCGTGGAGCTGACCCGACGTAGTTATCCACATTGGTGTCAGCAGCAATCATCTACTGGCGCTCCTTCTTCGTGTTACTGTTGCGCACACGTGGTTGGTTTGGTTCAACAAACTGGAGGTGCGGGTGGGGTTCCTCGTCGCTACTCTCTTCCATCTTGTCCAATGCATGTCTTACTCTTCTCATCATCCTTGCAGGATAATAAAGTTCTTCTGTCGACTTCATGGGGCGAGTACAGACGGAGATTTGTCGACGACTGCCAAGCGGGACTGGTGTTTGATGGGCTGCAGTCTCGTTTGGTATCAACTGTCAAAGCAACGCTAGCAATAGCAATGTTTAACAAGAACACCGTTAACATACAGCAGCGTCAGGATACAACGAGCACTACCCTTGATTTGACGTCCAGTGTTTCCATGCACCTGGTCGCTTTGTTGCCCTAGCCACGCAATCCAGTTTCAGCACACAGAGGGGTTAAACGCCGTTTCTGATATATTAGAGAAGTATTCGTTCATTATGAATGGGCAAACATCGCGTGGTCGCGTGCTCCGCATCAGAGAGGTGACCCAGCTGACTGCACCATCGTACTGCTATAGAAATTGTACGTGATTCCGGAAGACATGATAGTCTCATTTCAAGCTGCACTGAATAACTATGCGATTTGACAAAACGAGGACTGAAAGACCAGAGGAAAGATACAGGAGGTGGTGGATCTAACTGCTACGCCCAGTTCTGCAGACGGAAAGACGCTCGCGGTCTGGGCGACGCCACTGCTGGAACCATTCTCACGGTAACGTCGGGAATGGTCTCATTTCAAGCTGCACTGAATAGTTACGTGATTTGTCAAAAAGAGGACAGAGGAAAGATACAGGAGGTGGTGGATCTAACTTCTACGCCCAGCTCTGCAGACGGAAAGACGCTCGCGGTCTGGGCGACGCCACTGCTGGAACCATTATCACGGTAACGTCGGACGTTAACGTTGTTAGATGGGCATTAACGTTGCATTAGCGACACTATTGGTATTTAAGCAACGGTATTGTATCCGTTACTAAATGTCGTTTCCTTTCGTTGTTACAGTGAATGCGTCCACGTTATGAAGATTTTCTACAGAATCAAGAAAAGTTGCAAATGGTGCGAAAGAGACCAGGATTGGATAAAACAGGACTGGGCAAAGGCCACAGAACGCCCCGTTGAGGTTTTGTTTCTGACGAGACGGATTCGTAGGGTCAGCCAGCAGCTGAAGCAAAGGAGAGACTAGCGCATCTAGGCTCTCAGGTCAATGCGGTTTTTGATACAGTGTGCCTGCGCTTTAAATTCTACCACAAAAACTTTATAGAGGGAATCTACTTTGAGGAAATGCTAGGGTGTGTTGCGGATCGTGCGTGGCTAAATGATGCCGTGTTGATCTGCACTCTAAACGTCGTGACATACAATTAAACAGGCGCTCGTGCACTGTCGTCGATTGTGGTCGGCAGCAAGCAGTTTTCGTCTCCACCGCGATCAACGCTCTCCTCGATGAAATGATGCGTTCTACCCGTCAACATCGAGGGATGCCACTGGACGCTCATTTTGGTGGCGGTGTACAGACATGGTGCGAAGACGGTGTGCATGTACGATCCACTATGTACCGCATCTTACAGATCCGATTTGGTGAATTTATGGACGAGTAAGATGCTGCCATATCTACGAGAATGGAATTCTTAGTAAGAATATGACGCGAAGAAGAAGGCCCATTTCCGAGACACGTGAACATTGAATAATTAATGTCGCCCGCCCAACCGGATGGATACAGCTGCGGTAACATGGTCGCGGCAATGACACACTCTTTCATTTATGGCGGACGTGGGCTCACGGCCGATGCTGTAGCGAGAGACGTTATTAAAATAATTCGGCTGAAATAGATGTCTTTTATCTTATCCAGATCACGCAGTGAACCTGGTGGGGCGGCCGAGAAAGAAGAGACTAAACAGATAGACAGGCAGCTGGCCAGCGCTTTCGAAAAAGCAAGCAAGAAACAAAATCTGGAACTAATGAAAATAGCTTGGCTGTTACACATTTCAATGTTACTTCAACTTCTGCTCGTATTTTCTGAATGTTGTCATCCTGATCTTAGTCTGAATCGTTTGCTAAATCAATAAGTCCCTTTTGAGACAAGTCAATAACCTTGACATAAGCTTGAGCAGGACGGGCTTGAACTTGGACAGCACGAGCTTGGGTCTGTGGACGCTGACCACGCTCCGGCTGCACCCGACCAGTTCAGCGTCGCTTAGCTCTCTTAATCCGTCTTGAACGTCCCGAGGGGGCATATTGCCTTGTTTGCTGTCGGACATTGCGTCGAGATCACGCTGTCATAAAATCCAACTAAAAGCGTTCGTGTGGTGCTTCGTGCTCGCTTTGTGATCTCTGCAGAGAAGTGAACTATACTATCGAATAATAAAAACAACGTTATTCTGTAGACGACGTTATATACAAACGACGGGAGCATTCAGCAACGTTATAAAGCAGCATTTAATTTGAGCAACGTTAGCTTGGCAATTGCGGGCTTGCTTGTTTTGCATCATCTTGCAGTATTCGGCCAGGCGTACTGACAGCAAGAGAACGTATTTGTCGCCCAAAGACGTCTCGTAAAACGCCAGGGGGGAGAGCTCGATCCCACATTCGATTATTGGTCCAGCAGATCTCTACGCTCGCCCTGAGCTAATGCCAGCTTCCGCGTGCTCTTCTCCATCTAGCCCAACTTCTCCTGCTCGTTGCTATATCATGGAATCGAGAGCAAGCAAGCCGTTGCGCAAGTCGCGGGGACGATAGTGGTCTAGCTGCTTCCTCGTCACCCCCGCTGGCGTCAGCGGCTGCACGGTCCTTCATCGTCGCTAAGTAG